GCCGGCCACGCGAACGCCTGCCTTCATCAATTTCACTGGCCTGTCCCCCCCCGCCTCTTCTTTTCCCCTCTTCCCCCTCCTTCTGACGTCTGGCCTAGCATGTCGCGCTAATGTTATTCGCGACGCGTCTGCAGCGTCGCGCGGTCCAGGTTGCAATCAGCGGGGCCCGCGCGAATTTGGGTTTTCTGCCCTTTCTTCCCCTGCCCTCGCCCTCCTTCGTCTTGCTCCCCTCAGCCTTCCTTCGGCCACCAGCCCTGTCGGTTCTGCCAGTTCCCTCTTAATGATTTGTGCAAGGGTCGCCGCTAATGTGCGCCTCCATGAATTAGGGGCGGCCAGCCCTACCCTGATCTCTCCTTCCACGCTCTCCTCTCCCGCCGCCCTGCCCCCGACCCCCGCCGACGAGTGGGCCTTGGGACCGCGACTGAGACACGCAGTGCAAAGAACGCCGCGTCTTCGATCGTCACGTCCAGAAGGTGCAGCGCGCTGCGGGGCAGCACGGCGGGGCCCATCAACATCGGCCCCCTGCCCGCTCATGGGTCAACCGGCGCAAAGATCACCGCGTCTTTGAGCGGCGCGCCCGGAACCCGCGGCACGTCGCTGAACAGCGCGACGGCGCCCAGCAGCATGGGCCCTCGGCCCACGAGTGAGACAAGCAGTGCAAAGAGCTCCGCGTCCTCGAGCGGCGCGCTCAGACTCGACTGCAGGCCGCCGAACGGCGCGACGGGGCCAAGCAGCATGGGCCCCTGGCCCGCTCAGGAGCCGGGCAGTGCAAAGACCATCACCCATCACGTTTTCGAGCCGCACGTCCACGAGGGCGACGAGCAGGGCAGCGGGCGGCGCGCCCTCTAGCAACACGTCTGCGACCAGCACCACGATGGTGAGCAGCGCGACGGAGTCGGACACCACGACGCCTGGCAGGGCCCCCGACGCCAGGAGCACCACCCCCACATCCACGGTTACGGTAAGCAGTGCAACGGGCAGCACGTCTTCTGGAACCACGTCCAGGACCAGCGCCACGATGACGAGCAGCACGACGGATTTGGGCACCATCACGCTGGGGAGTGCGCCCGGTGCCAGCAGCGCTGGCCCCGGGACCACGAGTGCGACGGGCAGGGCAGCGGGCGGCACGTCCTCCAGCAGAACGTCCGGGACCAGCACGCGACGGCGAGCAGCACAACGAAGTCCACCTCGGCTGAGTCGCCCATCACCTCGCCATCCAGCACTACGGAAGCGAGCAGGACAGCCAGCGAAGGCCGTTACACCACGCGGTCCACAACCATTTGGCCCTTGAGCAGCACGCCGTTCACCATGACGGAGGCAGGCATGACGCGGCGTCTCAACGCTACGGAATCAAACAGCCCCACGATGTCGCTCGTGAAGGGGCCGAGCACCTCGCCGCTGACCAGCATCATGGCAAGGACCAGCACCACGTTGACAGCAGCTCCACACCACGACGGGGTCGATCATCTCGCTCCTATCCAGCACTCCCGCATCGAACGGTACCACGGCGCCGACCACGTCTGCGTCGAGCACCTCCCGCCCCGTCGCCGCCTGGGCGCTGGCTCGCCCTGGATGTCTTCGGGGACTCAGGGTCAAAGCGGCAGGTTTCGGGGCAAGTTTAGGACCCCATGTTTGGAAACGCCAGCCCATCCTCGTGACGCGCTGTCCGACACTTGGGTCGATTTCGCTGCCCCTCGCGAGAGCTTTCCGGGGCGCCCGCACGCGCGGATCATGGGGAACGAGAGCGCTGGCGTTCTTGACGGCGGCACCCAACTGCGGCAGTTTAGCCCCGCCATCCTTTTCCCCACCCCCAGGGCGTTCCGACGGGTGGCTGGGCTCCGGGAGGGGTCCGCTGGGAGGTCCCTCCACCACCCCACTCTCCCCCTTTCCCCTTTCCTGTTCTCTCCCGCTCCCTCTCCTTCCTCTCCTCTCTCCACGCCCCTTGGTTGTTGTGGATCCCTGTAGGGCCGTTCTGGCGCACCCTTCCCTTCAGTCCGCCGGCCGCCGCCGCGCCCCCCCCCCCCCCCCTGTCGGATTTGCGCGAGGAGTGGCACGACAGAGACTGGCAGCTCTACTTCGACTATCGCAAGTGGGGCCAGCAGCGCACCAGGGAGCAATGCGGCTGAAAGCAGCAGCTCAACTTTGACAACGGCGCCGTGGCTGGCCCCATGGACATGGGGCGGGGTTCCGACCCGAAGGAGTTCCCACCCGCCCCCCGTCCTTCTCTCCGAGCAGGGCCCCCCCCCATATAGCCACCCCTCCAAGCCTGGGCCCTCGGCCCGCCCCCCCCGCGCCCGCGGCCCAGCCGTCGCCCAGCCCCCCGCCTCCGCCTTAGCTCCTCTCCCTGTCCCGGGCCCAGCTCCGCGCCCCCGCACCCCCCCCGCGATGAACCTGGCGTTCCTGGCTAGTGGTTTGGGGGGGGGGCGGGCAGGGTCGTCTTGAGCATCCTGCAGGCCCCTCGCAGGGCCATGCCCCGTCTCGCCCGCGAGGACAGCGCAGCAGCCTCACGCCCACGAGTGCGACGAGCAGGACATCGAGCAGTGCGCGCTGGAGCGGTGCGTCGGGGATCCCTCCCACGACAGGGTGCAGCGCGGCGAAGTCGGGCAAAACGACGCTCGGCAGCACGGCCGGCGCCGGGAGCAGCACAACATGGAGCAGCAGCCCTACGTTGACAATTTCCCGTGTGACCAGCAGCACAACGGGAAGCGGCGCCAGTGGCAGCGCGACAGGTACCGGGAATAGTACGACACCTTTGACGCCTACGCCAGCGCCGACGCCAGCACCACCCACGGCACCTACGCCTACGCCTCCGCCAGCACCAACGCCAGCGCCTACACCGGCAGCGACGCCAGCCACTACGCCAGCACCAACGCCGGCGCCTACGCCGACACCAACGCCGGCGTCTACAGCAGCACCGCCGTCAGGCCGCAGCGCACCGGTTAGCGGGGCGGCTAAACGGCGCGCGCCAGCGCTAGCGTTCACGTTTGCGCCTACGCCGGCACCAACGCCCGCGCCTACACCAGCGCCGACGTTATAGGCCTTGCGCTACCACCATCTTTGTCGCCTTCGCCAGCGCCGACGCCGGCACCATCCCCGGCGTCTACGCCTGCGCCTCCTCACGCCAGCGCCTGCACCAGCAGCGACGTCTGCCCCTGCGCCAGCGCCAACTCCAGCGCCTACGCCGACACCAGCGCCGGCGTCTACAGCAGCACCGCCGTCAGGCCGCGGCGCACCGGTTAGCCGGGCAGCTAACTGGTGCACGCCAGCGTTGGCGTTCACGCTTGAGCCTATGTCGGCACCAACGCCAGCACTTACACCAGCGCCTACGTCAGCCCACACGCCGCCACAATGTTTGACGCCTTCGCCAGCGCCGACGCCAGCACCATCCCCTGCGCCTCCGCCGGCACCAACGCCAGCGCCTACACCAGCAGCGATGCCAGCCACTACGCCGGCGCCAACGCCGGCGCCTACGCCGACACCAACGCTGGCGTCTACAGCAGCACCGCCGTCAGGCAACAGCGCGCCGGTTAGCCGGGCAGTTCTCCGGCGCGCACCGGCGCTAGCGTCCACGCTTGCGCCTGCGCCGGCACCAACGCCCGCGCCTACGCCAGCGCCGACGTTATAGGCCATACGCTACCACCATCTTTGTCGCCTTCGCCAGCGCCGACGCCAGCACCATCCCCGGCATCCGCGCCTGAGCCTATGTCGGCACCTACGCCAGCGCATGCACCAGCAGCGACGCCCGCCCCCACGCCAGCACCATCTTTGGCGCCTTCGCCAGCGCCGACGGTAACGCCGTCGCCAGCACTCACGGCGACGCCAGCGCCTACGCCAGCGCCGATGTCAGCCCCATCGCCAGCACCGACGCCCGCGCCTACGCCGACACCAATGCCGGCGCCTGCACCAACGCCGATTGGGACCAGCGGCGCAACAGGGAGCGACGCAACCAGAAGCAGCTGCTATACGGTGACGTCCTCTAGCCGGACCTGCAGCACGAGAGAGGGCAGCGCTGCCAGTGCCAGGTGCAGCGCGGCAGAGAGCAGCAGCTCTACGTTGGTAACCGCGAGGTGTGCCGGCAGCGCGAATGGGAGCAGTGCAGTTGGAAGCAGCGGATCTCAGTTGCCATCCGCGGTTTGGACCAGTGGCGCAGCAGCGAGCAGCACAACCATAACCAGGAGCAGCACAACGTTAGGGCGCACGAGGCCGACGACTCGCAGCCTCGACTTCGGTGGCCAGGGTCACCTCGTCTCCTCGGCCGAGCTCTTCTTTTTGTTCCACATCCGGAGCTGTGCATCTTCGACCAGGGGGGCTTCGCGAACATCTTCTCGCCCGCTGGCCTTTCCTAAGGCCTGCGCGCCTTGGCCCCCAGCACCGGCTGCGCTGTCCCCAGCGCTCGACATGGTCCACAGCGCGCTCAGCATCCTGCCGCCTCTGCTCGTGATGGTGCCAGTCCACATCCTTCCAGTGCTGGGCAGCCTCCCCCTCGCCCAAGGAGGACATGCTGTCTTCGGCCCCTTGCTCCACGGGCCACCCCGCCCTGCGTTCATCCTCGCGGCGGCGTGCATCGGGCACGCTCCTCTGCACTTCCTGTGTTTGGGGGCGGTGGTTCATTGAGGCCCCGTGCAGCGAACCGCAGCCTGCCTGTGCATGCACTTTAATCGGCCGCTCTGCGAGGCGCTCACCGCCGCCCTCACGGTCGCTCTCAGCCCCGGTGGCTACTCCAGCTTGTCGTCGAAGATGGCATTCGCCAGCCATGCTGTCTTGTTGGCTAGGGCCATTGCTGCGCCCGCCTTCCCCGCTGGCCCCGCAGCGCCGGCCCATCCAGCAGGCGCAGCCGCCCCGCCGCCAGGCGGTCCTGCCCCTGCCGCACCCCCGGCGGGCCCTCCCGCAGCGCAGCCTCCGGCGCCAGCCCCGGGTCAAGCAGCAGAGTCCGAGTGGGCAGTGGACGTTATGCCGCGCCGCCGCTCCTGCGCGCGCCGGGCCAGCGCCTGCTGCAGGCC